TCGCAGTACAGATTTGAATCTCTCCCCATCGCCATTGAGAGTCTCTGTCTCTACTCTGATCCTCATACATGTCAAAAGCTGGGCATCTTAAGGAAGAGGAGAACAAGAGAAAACAGACTGGTGTAGCAGCGGGAAAGCCCAAGGCCTGATATATGGAAGGACTTACACAGCCACCTGGGCTGGAAGACACAAAAGTGGAGGAGGAATGAGGACAAGCCCCTTTGCTGGGAGGACTTTAGAAGAAAGGGTGCCTCTCTCACTGCTCTGGGCTGCAGTCTCTGCAGCAGGGGGAGGGAGAGGGTGACCTCTGGCAGCCCCTCGCTCTCGGGGACTCAGGGTTTCCTTTATGGTCAGGATTATTTTCCAGGCTGAAGATCAGGATTTGGCCTTTCCCTTTTGTGTCTCTGGTAAGCAGCAGGAACACAATCCTCCGCCCCCTCTACGGGGAAAAAGGACAATTTATCGAATTGTTCTGCTGTTCTCAGCCCTCATTGAGACAAAGAATTCATTTCCGTCTCTCAGGGTGGCTTCTCCTGCTGGTGGTCATAAATTGCCTCACTGCTGATCCCCTGACCTCCTGATCTCTTTGCTTTTGTGCTCAAAAAATTATTCATATTTCTCTTAACTCCATATACAACCTTTGGCTTCTTCTCTCCTTCCTTCAGGGTGACGTAGCATCCTTAGGGATTACTCCCTCTACCTCCACGCCCCGCACACTTCTCCCTGGGCAGGGCCCTGCGCATGGGGATGGAGACTGATCCAGCAGCCAGACCCGGCCAGCTTATTGGATGTTCAGCACTGTTCTAAGAGCTGTATGGATACTGACCCATTTAATCCTCACAACCACCCCATAAAGCAAGTACTATTATTATCTCCATTTTCAGATGAAGAAATCAGGATGAGAGAGGGGAGGTAAATAGGCTGCCCAAGGTCACACAGAAAGTAAGGGACAGAACCTGGATTAGGAACCCCTCGGGCTGGTTTCCATGCTCATGTACCTTGCTTTCCACTAGTCTGCTGCTTCTCTGACGGGGAGAGGGTGCCCAGCTTCTTCCTTGCCCTCGGGGAGCTCCAGACTGAAAGCACGTGCATAGCTCTTGCCCCAAAGGAGCCCCAAGTTAGATGGGGAGGCAGATATCCTGTCCTGGGGAGATATGTCCAGTCTGACAGACTTTGTTTCTGGGGGCATCCATCGGATACTGGGGACTCAGCCCCAGGATGCCCCCAGTTTGATGAGAGCTATGTGATTAAACTCGAGTAGACTCAGTTAATCCAATTAGAATTGTGAACATTCGTTTGAGAGAGATGAGAATGGAGGAAAGTTAAGAGAGCTTCATTGGGGTTCTCCCCAGAAGGAGGGGAGGGCAAAGCAGGATTGGCAATAAACGGAACTGCTGGTAGAGGGAAGAGGGCACGGCAGGCACCTCATGGTGTGCGCCTTTGCTGAGGGTGATGCCTGGAAAGCAGGCGTTTGCTTAGCTCGGTGATTCTCAACCCTGGCTGCCCATCAGAATTACCTGGGGAGGTGTTTTAAAATCCCGATGCTTGGGGCTTCACCCAAGAACAATTCATCTTTGGGAGTGAGGCCAAGGCACTGGTGATTTTTAAAAGACCCTCAGGAGATCCTAATACACAGCTGGTGTTGGGGACCCCTAGCTGGAGTTAGGGTCTCCAGCTCTGGCATCTGGGATACTGGCTTTTGTGGGGGGGATTCTGGAGAATGGTGTTTGCTATGAACAGAGCTGGTAGGAACTGGAGATTAAAGGCAGGGAGGGGGAAAGGGAAGTTAAGGGACCACGAGAGGGAAGTGAGGTGACTGCTCTGGATGTTAAGGATCTGGAGAAATTTGGCTTCTCTGTTGCTAGGGTTTCTAGGTGAGATAAGAGGCCAAGGGGAAGGAAAACCTTTGATAAGCCGGTCCCTACTCACACTGAGAATCACCATCAAACCTGAATAGCAGAAGCTGGAAGGTGGGCAAGAAGCACTCACTAAGCTAAGAATATTCTCTTCCCTCTCTCTGGGCTTTTTCTTCTAAACATTTTCCTACATCATATCACCACGGGCCTCCTGTCCATGCAGAATGAAAAGGGGAAAAGGCTGTCTCACTGATAGTGCAAGAACATCCCTACCTCAGGACCCTTGTACTTGCTGTTTCCACCTACCTGATATATTCTCCTCTCAGATGCCCGAACATCTGAATCTCTCAGTTCCTTCAGGTTTCTGCTTAAATGTTACTTTAGCAGAGCAGCTTTCCCAGTAAGAGTAGCAATTTCTCCTTCCCTCCCACTCCCTATTCATTGTATCCTGCTTTATTTGTCTCTTGTAGCATTTACCACAACCTGGTGTATTCTATGATTTTTCTACTGCCTCTTCCTGCTCTGCAGAATGGAACACTCTGAAGGAGGGGCTTTGTTAAAAAAATTTTTTTTTTCATTGTTATATCTCTAAGACCTAGAATTTTGACTGGAACATAAGCAGACACTGAATAAATATCTGTGGAATGCAAGATTAGTGGATGAGTAAATGAAAAGCCCTTGTGTGTCTGCACGTTGGTGTGTGGCTGTTTGTGTGTATTTGTGATTATATTCCTATTTCTCTGGGTTAGGTATGCTCCTTATTTTTAAACTGTGCGTTTGCCCGTGCGCATGTGTTTTTGAACATATGGAGGACTCTCTGGGTCTATGCATGGTGTGCTTCTGAATGTGAGTTTGTGTGTGTTTCTGCCTGTGTTTCTGTGTCTTCTGTAGGTGGATGTGTCTGGACCCTTCAGCCTGGTGTCAGGATCTGTGGAAGGAAGAGGCGTTGTAACTGCCTCTCACCAGCAGAGGGCACCAAATAGCCACGTGCCTTTGCTCAGGGCCCGAAATCCAGAAATCTTGGCGGGTAGTTAGGGACCCAGGAGACTTAGGATCCGGGAGGAAAGAAGTGGAGACCTCTCTGGACCAATACAGTGCTGTAAAGTTGTGCAATTTCTGTGCAGTTTCTGATATTTCTCCTCAACTCATTCCCTAGAACCCAGAGGTCGAGGCTCCCCCAATCCTGTGAGCAGAAGCATCCGGTTAGGGGCTGGGAGAGAGGCTGGTTGTCAAGCTGGGCTCTTTAAGAAAGAGAAGAACCTCGTCAATCTCCAGGAATTCCTTCCCCTCCCAGTACCCAGATCCCTCAACCTCAAAGGATCTGAAACTCTGTGCTTGGAGATCCTCCTGTGGCTGCCCTCTCCTGGGCCTTTGGAAGTCCTCTAGTTGACTACTTTCTGGATGGGTAGATAGATGCCCAAGATGAACAAAGGAAGGAGTCAACTGCGCCTCTCCCCCACCAGCTGAGGACTCCAACACAGCCTGGTGTCATTGTGTGCTGGGTGAGGCCCCCCTGGCAGGGGCCTCAGTCCGGTCCAGGAAGCAGCTGGAATTCTTCAGCTTTGGGTTTTGTAGGTGGGAAGAGAAGTGTATCCGTCCTCACCTCCAGCATTCATCAGTCAATTGAGAATTCCCAATTTGGGGGATGTAGGGGTTAGATTCTGGGTGTGGAATTTACAAGAAAAAAAAAAGGATTTTATCCTTTTTGATTCCATGAACAGCCACCTGCCCACCCCCTCCTCTCCCACACACGCTTACACACACCCAAACACACCCAAACACTCACACACCCTTCCCCACCAGTCATCCCCTGGGCTAGAGGCTTGTCCTCAGCCCATGCCCCGCCTCCCCAATCTACTGCCTAGTTCCTTAGCCCGGGACCAGGGCTGTATATATAAATGAGAGGGAGGTGCGGGGGCAGGGGTCCAGCCGTCCCAGCTCCAGCGCCCGCTTCTGTCACGTTAGTCACCCCCTTTGCCCTCCACCGCTTTCTCTCTTGGCGCTCCGTCCATCTCAGTTCCAGCGAGGGGTGTGTGTGTGTGCGTGCGTGTGCGCGCGCAGTGGGGGGG